CAATCAATGATTTATAAAGGTAAATCAGGAAAATTAACAAGGGTGCCCAAACTTTCGCACCCCTGTAAATCGCTAAAAAGGCACAAAAACTGTAGAACGAGTTACGTGCCAAAACATGTCCGGAAAAAAATGGATCTCAAGCGTGTGAGTGCACAATAAGCCAGTTTAAAACACAAACAGTGGTAAATGGAATTATTATCTTAAAGATGTGCAACATGGTCAAGAAGTGGCTTCAGATTTAATTTCTGTTGTGCACGTCACATCTCATCTGACCTAATTACAGTCGCGTGTACGCTGCATAAATGTAAAACCYTGTCACATGTTGAATCCACACTGATTTAGTTCAAGGGTTGTATCAGGACATATTATATTAAATGATCTGATCGAATGTGGTTCAACCTCAAATGTCCAAAACATTTAACAGATTCCACTTAATAAACTCAAGACAAAGTTAAGATGGAAAAACTGTGCAAAGAAGTTGTTCYCAAAGGATAATACCAGGCAGGTGCTGCTGATTAAATGTACCAGATCATCAGGAAGTTGGTAGCTATATGGCTGAGTGGTTAAGTGAGTYGTCCTCAAACCAGAGAGTTGGCGGTTTGATTCCCCACTAGTCAGTCATGTGTCGAAATGTCTCTGGGCAAGACACTGAACCCMCACTGCCTCTGATTTATGTCCCATCAGTGTTTAAATGTGATCTGAAGCACTGATTAGTCTCCATAAAGTGATTTGTACATGTTAGATTTGTATGGAGATAATAGAGTGCTTAACGAATGGGTAAACAAGTACAGATTGTAAAGCACATTAAGTATCATGGTTGAATAAAGGTGCTAWATAAGTACAGYCTRTTTACCATTCCCATTTCARAAATTTGTCTGCTTGCTGCTYTGAAGGGTCAATMCACTTTTGCCATTGCAGCTAAATATGTATATAAGTTCTGATTGCTTTGACATGTTGTGCCATTGACCTAAAGTGAGTGTGTTGAGTTAACCAGCTCTCCTCTAAAACATACAGGTGTGTTTTAACTCAATGAAAACCAACTGTGGGGAGAGATAACAGTGTTACTGTTAAATGGGTACCAGGACATCCTGACATTATTGGTAATGAGAGAGCTGTCTACCTTGCAAAACTAGCAGTCAGGCCCACTTCAAAAGACCAGAGCCTGTTGTAGGTGTCTCAACAACAGTCCTACAGGTCTGGTTTGGACGTCCCCTGTACGTCTGTTTTCTTCTGCATATCTGGGGTTGGGTCACGGGGGCAGAAGCGTAAGCAGCTTCTCCCKCCAAACTCTCCACTGGGGCCATGTAGGGCGTTCCCAGGCCAGCCGAGAAATATAGTCCCTCCAGTGTGTCCTGGGTCTTCCTCTGGGTCTCCTCCCAGTGGGACGTGCCCGGAACACCTCACCAGGGAGGCGTCCAGGAGGCATCCTACCCAGATGCCCGAGCCACCTCAACTGGCTCCTCTCAACGTGGAGGAGCAGCTGCTCTACTCTGAGTTCCTCCCGAATGACTGAGCTTCTCACCCTATCTCTAAGGAAGAGCCCAGACACCCTGCGAATGAAACTCATTTCAGCTGCTTGTATCTGCGATCTCGTTCTTTTGATCACCACCCAAAGCTCGTGACAATAGATGAGGGTAGGAACGTAGACCGACCGGTAAACTGAAAGCTTCACCACGACAGACCGGTACAGCACCCGCATCACTGCAGACGCAGCACCAATCCGCCTGCCGATCTCCCGCTCCATTCTTCCCTCATTCTTGAACAAGACCCCGAGATTAAACTCCTCCACTTAGAGCAGGACCTCTTCCCCGACCCGGAGGTGGCATGCTACCCTTTTCCAGCTCAAGACCATGGTCTCGGATTTGGAGGCACCAATCCCCATCCCGGCCGCTTCACACTTGGCTGTGAACCGCTCCAGTGAGAGCTGGAGATCAGGATCTGATGAAGCCAACAGGACCACATCATCTGCAAAAAGCAGAGATGCTATTCAGGTCAGCAAAACGGATCCCCTCAACACCTTGTCTGCTCCTAGAAATTCTGTCCATAAAAGTTATGAACAGAATCATTCATTTCCAAGTCAGACTGCAGCCTTCTTCTTCTTCCTCTTTCCTCTTTCCTCTGTTCCCATTTCAGGGGTCACCACAATGAGTCATTGTCCATCTCATTTCAGACTGGTTACTGAGATTTCATTTTCAAATGAACCCTTCTTGTTTTAGTGGGTTTAAGTGAATAAAATGACAACAGTTTGGCTGTTGTGTTTTTATTTAACACTGAGGGAGGTGAAAATTAAAAGGAAAGGAAAATGACTCAAATGAATAGTTTGCCCTAAATTCAACATTTTTGTCCAACAGAGAACAAAACCAAATAGCATTGTTTTTTCTAGTATTTGATTTTTTTTAACTGAAAAACTTCTGCATATAATAACATTTCTTTTTATACTGAACTTCATAAGAAACGTTTCTGTTAAATACTTAAACTTCAATCAAAATAAAATAAATTAAAGTCATTTCGACTCCATTCTCGTTTTTTAATTATTCTATTTTGTATTTTACATTATATTTGGTTATTTTATATTTGGTTTTAACAGAACATAGGATCCCAGGTTAAAGTTAGTCCTATTATTTCGTGTGGCTCATTGCTTTTATTTATTTATTTTTTGTCCATCTCCGTGCCGAGCTGGCGGACAGATGCGTCAGAGCCATGTGGACGATGGTAGCGTAGCTTTTGGCTTGGGATGCCAGACCTCCTTTCAGGTTCCACCATCATCCTGAAGTCTGGAAGCTTCTTGATGAGGTTGTTGGGTTGAGTCCGCCTCTCTGACAGAGCTCGTCGACGCTTTTGGTTTTACGCTTTAATGAAGCAACTCCATCCTTCTGAGCTCTGTGGCTCGTGCCAGTCTCATACCGTCTACAACCACGATGGATTTCTGCGTCTTCTTTGTTAAATGTATTTGGTGGCCATTTTCACCTTTGTATTCGTATTTTACAGCTGAGACATRTATTTATTTAAAAATGTGCGAGTTTTTTTATCTTCATCTTTCTTTTTTATTTTATTTTTTATCTGATTAAATTCTGTCAAACTTGCAGTTCAAGTTATCTATAATACCTCGTTAAATCATCCCCCTTCTCTTGACACATTTCCTGGAAAAGTTCCTTTTTTTCTGTCGGCTCTTCAATAAAGCATCACTGCGCTTTGCGCWGCGCTTGCACAGATGGAAACCGACGCTGAAGACAAAAAAAAGGTCCCAACCGAAGCCTCTCTTGGACTTTTATTTTTAGTTTTATCTGGGAGGGTCATTTCACAGACAGGACCTGATGGCAGTTATGTGGGGCCCCCATGGGACAGGGCGCGTGCAAAAGCTCGTGACAAAAAAAAAAAAAAAAAAAAAAAAGAGGTTAACAACCCCCTCCTGAAGCTGTAGCGGGGCAGCTTGCATCCTAACCTTTGACAATTTGATACAAGCTCTTAGGGCGGCACATTTCAAACATGTAAAATGAAATTTGAGCAGGTATTTAACCGTGGTTGCACGTTTGGTGCGTAAAAAACTGGTGCGTAAAGTTTGTGCGTAAAAGTGCTTTTTCTTTGTTAATCTGAAAGTTTAGTGCAAAAGCAGCACAAAACAACCAAAATATCAATTAATTAATATTTTTTTATTCATGCTCATAGCTCTACCACATTTCACAATGTATTTATGTGTTTTATTTGTATTTTTTTTAACCGAACCGACCGTTTAGATTTCAACATAAAAGCACTGTTATTTTTTGTTCTGGTAACATCTGAACACAAAGACTGTCGCGTCTTTGTGTTCAGATGCTGCGGTCCCTCCTGTCCTCAAACAGCGCGCAGTGATGGTGAGAACGGAGCGCGCAGAAGCTGGAGCCTGCACGATGGTGGGAACATGCGGAGTTTGGGGGAGGGGGGGCTTTGTGTGCGGTTAGGTGCATTGAGTGGGGGTTGGGTAGACTGATGAGGAGAAGGTTCCCATCTGTTGAGGCGGTTTTGGCGCGTGCCAAACGCGTGAATCCCACAGCCAGCTCAAAGGTCCGTTCAGACTTTTGCAGAAATCCTCAAACAAACGCTCTGCAAATAAAAATGTTCTCGATGCTAGATTTTTGTGTAAAACAGATTATTATTTTGACTGAAAGCAGTTGGAAAGCAATTCAAGCTTTAGTTTTGTTTTTACTCTTGATTTAGTGAACAAACGTTTCCAACCAAACTTTTTAACACTTTTATGAAGCTTCCCCAAGTTATTTTTGTCACTCTATGTTTATGTATCTGAAAGCATTCATTTCTGCTTGTATTTCTTGTAATAATAGAAGTTATAGTCAAGTCCTGCTGCAGGTAAAACGYCTTGTTGTTTATGAAGAGAGCTTCTGGGCTCCATAAACAGATGTTAATCCAAACACAGCGTGGCTTGGGTGTCTGCTTCATTTCTTTTAGGAATAGATTATTCTCGTCACCTCAGATTCACTCATTTGGCGCGTTGTGTTTGTTTTGTTGTGACGGGAGCACAAACTAAAACAGATTCAAAAATAATGACAATAAATATTATTTTGTGCTATTTGGTTACAATTTTAATTATTTATTTTTAACAATACACATTTAAAACTGCTTCTAAAACAATCCTAAATGGATTTGGGAGATCAGTTTGAAAGTAATTTTAGATCAAAACAAAAATCAGTGTATAGTTAACTGGGATTAGGAAATTTATAATTTTACTAACAAAATCGTGTTGGATTCATTCTTTACTGCAAATCAGATGAAAAACAATCCGCTTCCATGTGAAATTAAAAATAAACTGTTTGTGATGCAGGGTGTGTGCGCAGTTAGCTCTCAGACGAACGTTGAGGTTTTAATTTTTAAACACAAGAAAACACATCACAATCATCCAMATACCGGCGTAGAAACGCATGATGGACCCATGGGAACCAGATGGTCCAGACAGAATCGTCTCTCCAAAGACAGCCCACCCCTCCCTGTCCTCCCGCGCTTGTGTCCCCTCCCCTCTGACGCTCCGGGACCACATAAATAGAAGGCTCTCCAGACCCGAGCTACATTTGAGCTCAGCTTCTCTCTAAACAAGTGTCTCCCCTAAAGAAAAAAAAAAACAAAACACCCCAAACATGAGTCCCAGCATCACCCCTGAGGCCAGCCAGCCTCTCCCCGCGCGCTCCACTGTGGCCCAGAGAAAACAAGCCAACGAACTCAGAAAGGTAAGGAGCAGAGAGAAACTTTCCAGCTGCGCTTTTACTTAATGCTCGGACTTTAAAGAGCAGCAAGAATAACGATTTACATTTTCTCTCCTAGACTCTGAAACCTCTGCTGGAGAAGAGAAGGCGCGCTCGCATCAACGACAGCCTCAGCCATCTGAAGAGTCTGATTCTGCCTCTGGTTGGCAAAGACAGCGCGCGCTACTCCAAGCTGGAGAAAGCCGACATCCTGGAAATGACRGTCCGCTTCCTCAGAGACCTGCCCTCCGCTCCGGTCAAAGGTGAGCCTCGTGTCCGGAACGAGAAACCGCACGACGTGTTCACTCCGCGTGTCATCTGGCAGGCGCTCACCAGTCCTCTGCTCTTCTCCCCGCAGACTCCGCAGACAGCTACAGAGACGGTTACAAAGCCTGCCTCCAGCGCGTCTCCGCCCTGCTCCCCAAGACCAGCCTGGACCAGGACGCGTGCCAGCGCGTGCACGAGTTCGTCCAGCAGTCCATGTCCGCTTCGGTCACACCGACCTGCCTGAACTGCTGCGCGCAGAGCTCCAGGAGCCTCCCTCAGATCCAGCAGAGACTCCTGAGCCTGAAGTCCAGTTTCAACCACCGAGCGGAGAACCAGGAGGCCCTGAGCGGCGCGGCCGTGGCCCCCCTCAGGGCGCAGTCAGGCCCGCAGCCGGTCTGCGCCGCTGTGTGGAGACCCTGGTAGAAAGAACGAACATTCATCTCACCTGTATTTATTTCTTTTGTTGATAATGTGCATAGTTTTAGTAATAAGCATAATGTTGAAGTTACTTCAGCAATTGACTCATGTTGCGTTTGTTGCCAGTTGGCAAAAAAGCACAGATCTTAAAGAAACGCAATCCTCTTTGGGGTTTCAAAGACACGGGTTGTAGATAACACTTTTGTAAAACCCCAAGGGTTATTTTATTTCAGGGTTGCACTGTGGACTTAAAAATATTTGGTCTGTGCAACAGAAYAGTCAGTAAACACTACGTGTTACATTTGTGTATTTATTTTTCAACATGTCATGTAAAAAAGTTGTTTTGTGACGTGTTAAATGCTTGAAAAGTTTGAAATAAATGTAGATTTGACACAGATGGTTGTTTTGTTTMATTCTTTTAGGTCTGTTTGAAATACAATATTTGAGTCATTAACCCCATATAAAGGGGGAGAAAGAAACAATAATAAAAAAGCCACAGGTCAATGTGAGCTCAGTGATGCTGATGAGCAGCTGCTCTATTGTTGCTGATGTCAGGCGCCTCTTTGCCGCCAAAAAATGTGGGAAGAAGTTGTGTGAGAAGAAAAACACCGAGGTTAGCAGAGAGAACACAAAGTCCAGGACCAGAAATTCTGTAAAAGGACAATGAGAAAAAAACTTTTAAATGTTATTCTTACAGGTTTATAGCACATTTATTACAACGTGACATAAACAACCCATGATTAACTGAGCCTCAGACACATTTAATAAAGTTTGATGCTGGGTCAGCTCYGTGCCAAACTGATTTTTTTTTCCAGTGAAGGTCTGGTTTGTTACAGAAATGAAAAGGCAGACAGAAAACTAACTTTTTAGTCTTGTACAGCTAAAATGTTCATTTTTTGTCTTTGAAGGAAAGTCTCAGAAATCCAGAGTTGTAAAGTAACTAAGCACAAATACTTTGTTACTGTACTTAAGTAGGAATTTTGGCTATCTGTACGTTACTTGAGCAATTATATTTCAGCGTACTTTTTTTATTTTTACTCATTACATTTTTACACAATTATCTGTACTTTCTACTCACTACATTTTTAAAAAAGGTAAGATGTAGAAAGTTGTTACTCCTATTTTATTCTGAGTCGCTATTACTTAAAAAATATTATCCTGATAAATTGTGTCTCCTGGATAGAGTGAATTTAATTGTGGTTAGATGAGAAGTATAAATATAAACCATTCTGACACACTATTAGCTTGTACACAACCCATCAAAGTTGCACGCGTTAGAAATTTATTTTTTGGAGAAGTCACCTCCCAATAAATGTCATTTTGGAAAATCTAACTACTCATTTTTACTCATTACTTTTACTTTGAACACAAGTAGATTTTGTGTCAGAAATTTACTTTGATACTTAAGTGCAAAAAATATCAGATGCTTTAAGACTTTTAATCAAGTAATATTTATAGAGAAGACTTTAACTTTTACCAAAGTATTTTTATGATAAGATACTTGTACTTTTACTCAAGTATCACTTTGGGGTACTTTATACAACACTGCAGAAATCACTTAAAATATTTCAATCATTTAAAAATCAACCTGAGACAATAGGGTTAAAGCTTCTCATAAGAGAACTGAAGGAAAAATTGGCACTTGGAATCAGACAAAGTCAGATAAGAAAAATGTTATAATTATAATTTGCTGAAAAATAAGAAATGAATAAAAAGAGAAAGGCAAGGATTATTTTCAGGTGGTAGATCAAATTCAGTCATGAATCACAAATCTGCAACAATGATGCTACATTTTGGTGCAGGCACTAAGCATCTTTACCTAAAAAACAATCTGCCCAATGAATATCTGAGGTAAAGGAGCAACAGAGTTTTCACTTGTACTGTAAATATTTTCTCATCTCAACAGAAATGATAAGTAAATCTATTTAAAAAACACAAATAACGACAAAACATCTGCAACAGGGCTATGGTTTCTCAAACTATTTATTAGTTAAGGCACGCAGACTCTGACACAATCATGAAGCTCATTGGTAGTTTTGAATTCAAAACAATTTTGGGCACAAAAAGTTTTCAACCTCAGTCCTGCAAATCTGGTCTGCAGGGAACTTGATGCAGTCCCACCACTACAACATCTCACCACTGTCCTTCTGTCCTCATGTCCTGCTGTCCTCATACATGTCCTGCTGTCCTCATGTCCTGCAGACTTCATGTCCTTCTGTCCTCATGTCCTGCTGTCCTCATACATGTCCTGCAGACTTCATACATGTCCTTCTGTCCTCATGTCCTGCTGTCCTCATACATGTCCTGCAGACTTCATACATGTCCTTCTGTCCTCATGTCCTGCTGTCCTCACATGTCCTGCAGACTTCATACATGTCCTTCTGTCCTCATGTCCTGCTGTCTTCATACATGTCCTGCTGTTTTCATACATGTCCTGCTGTCCTCATACATGTCCTGC